GAGACAGAGTCTCACTCCGGCTGTTGCCCAGGCTAGAGTGAGTGGCGTGGCCGTCAGCCCTAGCTTCAGCAACCTCAATTCCTGGCTCAAGAATCCTCTGCCTCAGCCTCCGAGTAGCTGGATACAGGCATGGTCCACATGCCTGGCTAATTTTTTTTTCTATAAAAAATATTATAGTTGGCCAATTAATTTCTTCATTTATAGTAGAGATGGGGTCCCTTGTCAGGCTGGTTTGGGAACTTCCTGACCTCGAGCAAATCCGCCGGGCCCCTCGACGCTCCCCTCGAGGGCTGGAGTTAGCAGGAGTGAGCCACTGGGTGGCGCCGGCCGCAGATGCTGGGATTTTTAAAAAAGAATCCTACAAAAAGGGCGAGATTCTAAACAATCAATTATGCATCATAACAACTCTCCAAAATTTCAAAAATAAAAGCACATCTGGCGGCGGCGGGGCTCACAGCCTGTAATCTTAGGCACTGCCTGAGGAGGCTGAGCTGGGTAGCACTTGGCCAAAACTCCCTCCAAGGAAGTTGAGACCAGCCTGAGCAAAGAGGGAGACGCCGCTGTCTATACTTAAAACGCCGAAATAGAATTAATTGTCCAACCTACAAAATAAGTATGCAAAAAACTTAGGCCGGGGGCATGGTGGGCAGCATGGGCCATAGTCCGCAAACTACTGGGAGGGCTGAGGCAGGAGGATCAATTGAACCCAGGCAGCTTTGAGGTTGCTGTGAGGCTAGGCTGACGCCACCGCCACCTCCCACCCTATAAGCCTGGGGCAAGCAAAGCGAGCGACTCCTGTCTCCAAAAAAAAAATAAATAAAATAAAGACTATAATCGCTTAAGAGTACACTCCATCCGGTGAGTAGAGGTCAAAAGGCACCTCCAAAAAGATAGCGCCATATGTCAAAAAAATGAGGAAATAGTAAAAAGGTAGAGCTGGTGATTCCAACAACGGCTAAAGGGCGGCAAAGACCTCATGTTATAAAAAGGAAAACACAAAGTCATATGAAAACTCTAGGATTCTACACCTAGCTTCTCTCCATTGTCTTATCCAAAAAAAAAATAAATAAAATAAAGAGACTAGTATAGTTGAAGAGTATCCTCCATAGGTGAGTAGATGTTAAAAGGACCCTCATAGATACACATATGTACAAAAAAATGAAGGACATAGTAAAAAGGTAAGAGTGGTGATTCAAACCTAAAGGGCCAAAGACTGTTAATAAAGCTAAGGATAACACAAAGAGTCCTATGAAAACTCTAGATTTACACCTACTTCTTCCATTTCTTTATCAACAAGTACAATCTTCAACTTAAAGAGGGAAAAAACAAGCCTTGTGGAAAGAGAAAACTGAATTTCAAAACAGTAGATCCTCTAATTATTCCAGATCACTTCAAGCCTCCAGACCTGACAACTGTGAGAACTCCAGGAGAGCCTTGCTAAACCTTTGTTGTAGATTTCTTTTTTTTTTTTGGAATATGCTTTTCTTTATTAAATCTTACTTATATTCTTTAAGGGACAAAAACAGACACAAGTAGGCTACAGTGAAGAAATCTTATTTTTATAAGAGAATTATGAAATCACTAAATTACTTCCAGGTATTATCTTCAGTGATGCTTCTTATCTTTATTCACGGACTTCAGGAAATATTCAGCCCCTATAGCTACCACAAACGCAGCAAATCCCCATTTGAATCCTTTTAATAATACACCAATAGAGGAAACATTGTTTGCATAGCCACCCATGTATCTCCAAGCTTCATTATAGCCCCATGGATCTCTTAGCCCTCTCGCAGCCAGCTTCTGTTGGACAGTTTCTAATGGTGTCCCTTCTATCTTCCACTGTTCATAATTTGGAAGTTCCATTTTACTATGTCCATGTTCATGTTCATGTCCATGTCCATGGGCCATGTCTCTGATTCCTTATAAAGAGGTCGATCACCAAATCCCTAATTTACCTGCCGGCAATCTGACCTCTCGGGACACTCACCGCTCTAGAGGGAGCCCACCAGAAATGCTGTTGTAGATCTTTAAAGATAAGCAAGGTGTCAAAGTCTGGGGATGGGCAAATGTGGTCTAGTTTCAAAGGTGAGGCATCTACTGAAGGCTACAAAAGTTCCCAGACCCTGATAACTTTGACATCAATCTTTTGTAACCTGCACAATTGATATTTCTTTCATGTACATACACACCTATCTCTGGCCTATGGATTCTTCTTTAAAAAGAGAGTTTTAAGCTTTTAGAAAGGGCTGTAAGCTTTTGGAATCACCAGAAATGATTCACTGAAAACAAGTCCTTCAAGAATATAACTAGACAGAGAAATAAAGGAATGTAATATACACAAGCGCTAATCAAAGTGTGGTCTGCAGGCCAGCAACACTGGCATCACCTAGGAGTTTGTTAGAACCTCAGCCTCCACCACAAACCTGCTCAATTAGAATCTGCATTTTAACAAGATCCCTAGGTAATTCTCATGCATGATAAAATCTGAAAAGCACTGATACATAGAACAGATCCATACTTCAGCAAGGCATTCAATGAAGTGTTTCATAATATCTTCATGGACAGTAAAATGTCTTCCAATTAGTTTAGTAGTTACATATATTAATATTTGCCAGGCAAAATGTTAAGCTGTGGGTATACTTATCTCATTTAAATCTCATATTAATAACCCTTCAAAACAGGCATTATTACCTATATTTCTATATTTTACAGAATACTTTTTTCCTTTTTTTTTTTTTTTTTTTTTAGAGATAGGGTCTCACTCTGTCACCCAGGCTAGAGTGCCATGGTACAATAGTAGCAAACTCCTAGACTCAAGGTATCCTCCCACTTCAGCCTCCCGAATAGTGAGGACTACAGGCACACACCACCACACCCAGCTGACTTTTTAATTTTTTGTAGAGACAGGGTCTCCCTATGTTGCCCACGCTGGTCTCAAAACTCCTAGCCTCAGGTGATCCTCCCACCTTGGCCTCCCAAAGTGCTAGGACTACAGGTGTAAGCCACCCTGCCTGGCCTATATTTTACAGATATTAATAGTAGCAAAGATTAAACAGTACTATCTACCAAGCACTATTTGAAGGATTCTACATATAATAACTTATTTAATCCTCATAACAACCCTTTCTTTTTTCTTGAGACAGAGTCTCACTCTGTTGCCCGGGCTAGAGTGCTAGGCATCAGCCTAGCTCACAGCAACCTCAAACTCCTGGGCTCAAGAAATCCTTCTGCCTCAGCCTCCCAAGTAGCTGGGACTACAGGCATGCGCCACCATGCCCAGCTAATTTTTTCTATATATATTAGGTGGCCAATTAATTTCTTTCTATTTATAGTAGAGACTGGGTCTCAGTCTTGCTCAGGCTGGTCTCAAACTCCTGACCTTGAGCGATCTTCCTGCCTCGGCCTCCCAAAGTGCTAGGATTACAAGTGTGAGCCACCGGGCCTGGCCAACGACCCTTTCTTGTAAGTACTATTGTTATCCACATTTTATATATGATGAAGCTGAGGTAGAGCGATGTTAAGGAATTCACCTATAATCGCACAGAAATTTGTGGTTTATAGTAGTCCCTTGGTATCATTAGAGGATTTGTTCCAGGAAATACCCCCCTCAGATACCAAATCCATGGATGCTCAAGTTTCTTTTCTTTTTTTTGATACTGAGTTCGCATTGTTGCCTAGGCTAGAGTGAGTGCCATGGAGTCAGCCTAGCTCACAGCAACCTCAAACTCCTGGGCTCAAGCGATCCTTCTGCCTTAGCCTCCCGAGTAGCTGGGACTACAGGCATGCACCACCATGCCCAGCTAATTTTTTCTATATATATTAGTTGGCCAATTAATTTCTTTCTATTTATAGTAGAGAAGGGGTCTCGCTCTTGCTCAGGCTGGTTTCGAACTCCTGACCTTGAGCAATCCGCCCGCTTCGGCCTCCCAGAGTGCTAGGATTACAGGTGTGAGCCACCGCGGCCGGCTGATGCTCAAGTTTCTTATACTAAAATGGCATAGTATTTGCATATAACCTACACACATCCTCCCATATACTTCTTTTTTTTTTCTTTTTTGAGACAGGATCTTACTCTGTTGCCCAGGCTGGAGTTCAGTGGTGCCATCATAGCTCACTATAACATCAAACTCCAGGCTCTAGGAATCCTCCTGCCTCAGCCTCCCAAGCAGCTGGGACTACAGACACGCCTACCTCACCCAGCTAATTTTTCTTGTTTTTTGTAAAGAATGAGTCTTGCTATGTTGCCCAGGCTGGTGTCAAACTCTTGGCAGTGATCCTCCTGACTTGGCCTCCCAACTCCCATATAGTTTAAATCATTCCTAGTTTATTTACAATGCATAGTACAACGTAAATACTATGTAAATAGTTGCTACACTGTATTTTTTAAGCTGTATCATTTGTTATTGCTGTATTATTTTTTTTTCCTAAATATTTTTGATCTGCAGTTGGTTGAATCTGTGGATGCAGAACTCATGGATATGGAGGGCCCAGCTGTGGCTCTTAACCACTACTTTCTATGATCAAGAGTGCTGCCATGGTGGGGCACAACAGCCCTGCTAGAAATAAACAATCACACCCAAACACAGCCTGAAAAAATCATCAGGAACTAGGGAGGTGTTGTAGATTTTAAAGGAATGCCCTGGAAGGAGGGAGACAAAGAGAGTAACATTTACTGCGTGCCTATAGTGTGGTTGGCCATGAGTCAAGCACTTTACAACCACATTTTATTCAACCTTTCCAACAGGCCCATTTATAGATAATAAGACTTTTTAATTTTATTTTTAACCCTTTGCACTCGCTTGCTTTTTTCTCGATTCCTTTATTCTACTCGGGATTTAATTTTTTAAATACCCCAGATTTTACAAAGTGCGGCAGTAGACTGGAATTTCTTTTCATACAAACTTATTTATTTGGATTTTTTTATATTTCAAATTATTTATACATTCAAAGAGTAATTTTAATCTCTATAATTTTTGCTAACCGTGTCGAGTCACACTCGACATCCGAGTGCAAAGGGTTAGTATTTAGAGACAGGGTCTTGCCGTATTGCCCAGGCTGGTCTCAAACTCATGGGCTCAGGGACTCTCCCACCAGCTTCCCAAGTAGCTGGGACTACAGGTGGGTGTCACCACACCTGCTATTAAGACATTTTAAATATGAGGAAAGAGAGGCCCAGAGAAGTTGACTTTGCTAAGTCACATTGCTTATAACGGTACAACCAAGAATCTAAAATCAAGTCTGACTGTAAAGCTCATGCCCTTTCCATTGATTTGCTCTGCAACTATGCCTGGCCTTGGTCCCAATGCAGGGATGGCAATGAGCACATTACAGAAGCATAATGTCCAAACCAAGGAAGCCTATTAGACTTCATTTATAATACAGACAATCCTTGACTTATGATGGTCCAACCTGCAATTTTTTTACTTTACATGGTGCAAAAGTCATACACATTCAGTAGACCATACTTCAAGTACAACCATTGTTTTTCACTTTCAGTACAGTATTCAATAAATCTTCAACACTTTATTATAAAATATGCTCTTTGCTCTTTGTTAGTGATTTTGTCCAACTCTAGACTAATGAAAGTCTTCCAAGCACATTTAAAACTCAGCTATGACTTCGGTAAATTAGGTATATTAAATGAATTTTCAACTTATGACATTTTCAACTCAATAGATTTACTGGGATATAACCCATTGTAAGTTGAGAAATACCTATAGTATCTTCAGTTCTGAGTGCTAAATTTGTTACCAGCAAATTAAATATGGTCCCACAAAAGACTTAGATAAGGGCAATGGGTCATGTTTACCATATAGGAGGGCCTTTAGCTAAGAAAACAAATATATAGTAAAAATAGAACACAGATTCAAAAAGTCAAAACCAGATGGGGCCAGGCGAGGTGGCTCATGCCTATAATCCTAGCACTCTGGGCCCAGGCCCAGGCCCAGGTGAATTTCTTGAGGTCAGGAGTTTGAAACCAGCCTGAGCAAGAGCAAGACCCTGTCTCTACCATAAATAGAAATTAATTGGCCAACTGATATACATAGAAAAAATTAGCCAGGCATGGTGGGGTATGCCTATAGTCCCAGCTACTCGGGAGGCTGAGGCAGGAGGATTGCTTGAGCCCAGGAGTTTGAGGTTGCTGTGAGCTAGGCTGAAGCCATGACACTCACTCTCTAGCCTGGACAACAAAGCGAGACTCTGTCTCAAAAAAAAACAAACAAAAAAAAACAGATGGAACAATTTTGGACTAGAATGTTATTCAAAAACAATAGGCTTTAGAGTCAGACAGACAAGGATTTGAATATCAGGTTCTATCACTTACAGTTTAGAATCCAAGCAAGTTATTTAATGTCTTTGAGCCTTAATTTCCACATCTATAAAATGGGGTAATACTCCACAGAACTGTTGTAAGAGGGAAGAAAAGTAATATTTGTAAAGTTCTTGGGACATAAGACTCAACAAATGGTAGTGAACATTAAATCTAACAAAATGAAATTTAAAAAGGATAAGTGTAAGTAAATTAATTTTAGAAGCACGAGATGAAACTTAACAGAATCATGTAAGAAAAGAGTTAGGGATATTCGTTGACTTGAATCTATCATTCAACAGCTTGCTAAAACTGCCAAAAATTATTGTGAATTTGGAGCACATCACAGAAGTGCAACATCCAAAACAAGGAGTCCTATCAGATTTCATTTGGAAGACTGTCTTCAGTTCTGAGTGCTAAACTTTAGGAGGGTCCCTGTCAAATTAAAATCAGATCAGGAAAAGACTAGAATGGTAACTAACTTTCTTTCCTTCTTTCTTTCAAATATGGAATGTTTCACAAATTTGCATGTCATCCTTGTGCAGGGGCCATGTTAATCTTCTCTGTATTGTTCCAATTTTAGTATATGTGCTGCTGAAGCGAATACCCTAGCCCCTTTATTCCTGGGTCTATATTCCCTCCACTCCATATAACTGAAGCTGCCTGACAACTGCTTCCATCTCTATCCCCCAATAACACATTTGTTCTCATATATTCCGCCCTCACACATCCCTCAGATTCACTTTTGCCCCAGTCCCAAAGTCCCAAGTAGGCCTGACAGAAGTGACTTGATGACTTCTGGCCCAAAATTCTAGGATTTGATATGTGAGACTTGGTGCTAATCTGGCCCTGGTGTGCAGATTAGACCTGCTGCTAATCTGTACCAAATCTAACTGGCTCCCTGCTTTCTTCCTGAAACTGAAACCCAACCTTGTGCCCTAGATAACTGAACCAATCCTGAGTCTGAGTCACATACCCAAGAAATGAGATCTCTTCATCAAAGTCTCCTTTACCCACAGCTCCATTATTCCCACAAAGGAATGCAACTGGTCAGGAGTCTACAACGGGACAATGTCAGTCATTCCAGAAGCTAATCTCAGGCCTCAGCCATTTCAAACCCACTAGATGAATACTTTTGAATCCAAGGAGGCTCTCAGATTAAACTCAGGAAAAAACCTATACATGCTCATAGAATAGTACAAGTTGAGCAGTTTATTGTACCTAAGAGGCCATTTGCAAACCTACAAAGAATGAAGCCTTGAAAAGCTGCCTACATTCTGGCCATCCTCACTACAGTGCCCCATTTTCAATTCCAATTAGAACTGGGCTCAGCTCCCTGGCAGGACCCAGACAGTAAAATCTGGTAATTCCCAGATCCAGATTCTCAAGGCAACTGACGCTGGAGTAACATGAGCTTC